ATGTTAACAAGGCAGGTAAGGATAGCTGACCACATTAATCCTCAAATATTAGCGGATTTTATCTTTTAAAAACAACACTGATATAACTACATATATATACTACGTATACATTATTTTATAAATAATGTAAATACATTATTTTATTGTCTACTAATTACCAAAAATCACAGTTCTGTCTCTCCAACTCAATGTATTTCAATTGCCCGCCATGAACTTGCTGGAACATTTGAGGTCTACGTGAATCACGTGACGATCGAACGTTTTGGACTTCCGTTGACGCAACTCTTTCTATGGCTCTGATAACAGCTAAAGGTCGCCGTCATGTGGTCAAAAAAAATGTACAGGAAAAGTTAGCGCATGCGCAGTTGAGCTTAACTTCCAGCCATTCGCTCGGCCATTATCAATCGATCATAGAGCAGAAGATGGCGGCGCGTCGAGGCTGAGCACTGAGATCGATCACCGAAACATTCGATTGGACGGATCAGCTGAAGTCGGGGGAAAGCTAGGAACTCGTCCGTTATATGAGGTAAAGAACGTCAAACAAGACGCAATCTTCCGATTGTTTTTAGGACTAATCTTCAGCTAACTCTCTAAACAAACGCACAGCTAAAATAAGCAAAGAAGAGGCAGGATTATAGCCCGCCTCTGTTAGCGCCATCTTGATCCAGCAGCAGGGCCAGGCAAACTGAATTAATCCCGGAGCTGAGAAACAGAGAGAGAGGACTCCTAATCAATCCGCAACATCGTTCGTCACACACATTCTTGTTGGGGAATTGCGCAGTTGCTCGTCAAATCACTTGTCAAATTTACTCGCTAAAGCCAGACAATCAGACATCATTGTGCTCGACTCGTCTCGGGCTGATAATGATAGATTACATTTAAATGATGGACAAAATATCCCGAGCTCGAGATAAACGTTTCAGTGTCGCACAGAAACACACACGGACTGTTACATAATGATGTTTGTTGATTTGAAGTAAATAATGAAGTCTGTTGGATGATTAATGTCTGGCAATGTCACTTACATGCACTGGATCATAATGAGAATAATGCACCATGGATGGATACTTTTGTACTGTAGATTAGATATTAGATAATTAATTCTGTTGAAATGAGTACATATTATTCAAATACAAAGACAATATTGCAAAACAATTGACTACCATAACTACCATAAGAAGGGATATATACGTCTATTTATATAGACAACACAGCAGTACAGTTTTAATTAGATGTACATCAAAGAACAAGAATAAATCTTTCGTTTTAGTACTTAAAATTGTGAAATTACTTGCTTGGAAAAGTACAAAGAAGTTTAATCATATGGCTATAATCACTATAGATACTGAGGAGGAGACTTTCCCCTTATATTCAGATAAGTGGCAGGGTTGTTGTAGTTAACTAAAAATAAAAATTAAATTACTAAACTAAAACTATTTAATTCCTTTAATTTAATAAAAAAAGAAAATAGAAAAAGAAAAAAACTTACACTTATTTTTTCTATCTAGTTGCTTTTTCACTTTGTTTAACTTGATGCATTAAAATATTAAAACTATATATATATATATATATATATATATATATATATATATATGGGAATATTAGAATATTATTATCATAA